GGGGAGGGGCAAGGGAGGCCTTTTGGGGCTGGGGTCCCAGGGAGCCATGCAGACAGATGAATTCTGGGAGGACCATGGGCCTCTAGGGGCAGGTGCCTAGCAGGCGTTGCTGGCTGGTGGGCTAGGAGGGAGCAGGGCCTCCCTGTTCCCCAAGGCCGGGGCGGGGCGAGGGGGCTGGTGCAGATGGCCGTGGGTGTGTGGCCTGTCCTGTCCCAGCGGCTGCCTGCCCACCATGCCAGGCACCGCTTTAGGGTTTGTTCCTCAGCTGCCCCATCCCACCCTCTCCCCAGGGACCGGGGGCCTGCGCCGGCAGCCCACCCGTCTCCCGGGGCACGTCCACAGGCTTCCCTGGGTGCCCGCCAAAGGCAGATTGTCCTCTGGCCGTGATGCCAAGCCAGCCGTGTCTCTCACCTCCAGCTGAGCCAGTCCCCAGGCCGGGTGGGCAGCCGGCGGGCAGCCTCCTGCCAAGTCCTCCCCGTCTCTCTGTGTCTTTGGAAAGAAAACTGGAGGGAGGGCAGGGCGGAGGCGCCCACCCACTGCAGGGAGCCCAGGCCCAGGTCCCAGGCTTGCCTGGGTGGTGTAGGGTCACCCACACCAGGGTGTGGTCAGCCTGTAGGAGCATGGCAGGAGGATGGCAGGGTAATCGGGGTCAGCAGATGACCCTGGTGTTCTGGGTAGCTTAGCGTACCCAGGGGACATCTGGACAGGGATCCAGCGTGGGGGCAGTAGCTTCAAAGACGCGTTGGATTGGCCATAGTAAGTTGTCTGTGTTAGAGGCCCAGGACAGCAGGCACCCGCCAAAGGGGAAGGGCCGACCCAGGGCCACCCACACGGTGCCTGGGGAAATGGCGGAGCTGGGGTGAGTCTCCTCACCTCCCACTCAGCCCGGCCRCAGGGTCTAGGCTCCAAGGAGCTCCCTGTGCCCCGTGTGGGCAGCGGGTGGGGTGGGAGAGGCTCTGCCACGCCATTGGTCTCTCCCATGTCAGTGCACCAAGACCTGCGGGGTGGGCGTGAGGATGCGGGACGTGAAGTGCTACCAGGGGACCGACATCGTCCGCGGATGTGACCCGCTGGTGAAGCCCGTGGGCAGGCAAGCCTGTGACCTTCAGCCCTGCCCCACAGAGCCCCCAGGTGAGAGGGGCACCCGAGGGCAGGGCTTCCCAGGGGGCTGTGGCCAGAGCCAGGGCCTGCGGGACAAGCAGGTGGGAGGGCACCCGGAGCCCCTGGACCAGGATTCTGGTGCTGCCCTGGCTGTGGGGAGGAGGGGCCAGGCAGGGCCTCTGGTTGGGTCCTGGCAGGTGGACAAGGGCTCTGGGATGGCAGCGACAGAGGCAGGTGGCGATTCTGCTTTGGCATCTCAAGTGGGGAGGGGGCAACTGTGGGCTCCAGGGGATGTTCAGGTGTCCAGGGAACAGTGTCTTCCTCAAATCCTGGCCCTTGAGGTGTCACCTCTCCCAGTGACAGATCAAGCCCCTTGGTGGCTCCAGGACTGGCTGGGAGGGTGTGGGGTGGGAAAGAGGTGGCAGAGACCTGCAGGGGACATCCACCATGGCTGAAACCACAGGTTCCTATTGCCCAGAGGGCAAAGCCCTTGCCCCTGAGAAAAGACTGTGGGGGGGGGGGCCTGCATTTTTGCCTCTTGGCCTCCTCCCAACACCCTGCCCCATCACCCTGCCCCATCACCTCCCCAGATGACAGCTGCCAGGACCAGCCGGGCACCAACTGCGCTCTGGCCATCAGGGTGAACCTCTGCGGCCACTGGTACTACAGCAAGGCCTGCTGCCGCTCCTGCCGGACCCCCACTCCCAGGCCTGGCCCTGCAGCCCCTTGAGACTCGGGAGCCAGCCCTGAGCTTATGTGGCTCTGGGGCCCCTCCCTGGACACTCGTCCTGTARGCCCCTGGGTGTGAAGGCCTAAGGCGGAATCTCGGCTGATCCTCAGCAGACTCCTCTGGCCTGTGGATCGCTGCTCTGCCCAGCCCTGGGACAGCCTCCAGCACCCACCAACCCCTCCCCAGAGCTGCCCCGGCTGTGGTGACTATACCTGGAGCCAGAGGGTCCTGTGTTGGTGGCTGCCACCTCCACCCCCAGCAGCCCCAGAAACATGGGGCCCAGAGTCCAAAGCCCAGCATGGAGGTGAGACCTGCCCTTGGCCCAGGTTCTGCTCTGCAGAGGTGCAGCCATTCCAAGGTGACTTGCCAGGGCAGCCAAGGGACACAGACCATCAGTCCCTGGAGGTACTGAGGCATGCTCCTTCCAGGGGACCCCATCCCACAACCTAGTATTGGCTCCACCTGCCCTGCAGGAGCTGTGCTCAGAGGGGCATGCACTTTATGCCCCAGAAGAGGCCCTTTCTCTTGGTGCACTGGGCACGGACAGCCAGGTGTCCTGTATCCTTGTCAGTACTCATCGGCGTATGTTAATAAAGTGGCCGTATTTATGGTGGCATTTCGCGATCTCAGTTGCTTCTGGCAGGAAGGCTGGCGGGCACAGGGGCTGAGAGCCAGGGTGAGCCATGCAGGGATTCTGGCTCAGCAGAGGGTGTGCGGTCAGGTGGCTGCAGTAGTCAGGTGCAGCAAGCAGTCAGGAAGCACAAAGGGAACAGGGGGCCCAGGGAGGGATGTCGGCTCAGTGCTGGCTTCAGAACTGGCCAGAACTTCAAGCCTGCTGTCAACAAGTGTGTGTCCCCTCATGGAAGCCCGAGCCCCAGCTAAGGACCAGGGCACCACCTGCAGGTGTGTTTGGCACCATGTTCTCAGGGCCCAGGTGGCCACGGGCAGTGTCTCCTTGGAGCCCAGGTAGCAGGGAGGCCCACAGTTGCTGGTCAGTCCCCTGCAATTTGGGGATGGACTGTCTCCAGCTGGAACCCAGAGCAGGGGCCACCTCAGTGCCTCGTTTCACCAGAACAGTTTCTGAGGGACTTGGGGCTTTGAGGGAACCGAGGCAGCAATCAGCCCGTGCACTCTTGCCCCTGTGTGTGCCTGCACCCATGGGCATCGGAGGGCTACCATCCAGAGCAGCTGTTGGGCTCCGGCAGGAAAGTTCTAAGGTCCCCATTGCATTGATGCTAAAGCAGGCCCAGAGATGGTCAGCCTGTTGTCCCAGGTAACACAGCCCGTTACCCACAAACTTTCTAGAAGTTCAGCACTACAGTGGTGGTTCCCAATCTCAGAAGATCCACTCACCTCTAGGGAACTAAAAAACACAGCGACTTGTTGTGGCAAGTCCTCCCAGAAAGCCACTCCCAGTCCCAGGCCCTGGACCCCACCAGCCAGATCAGAAAGGTGACTGTCTGACACTGGGCAGCTCCAGGAGGGGGCTGCACTGCAGGAGCCCAGGCGCACGGAAGACACGGAGCAGCGGCTGCGAGACAAGGTTTATTGGCTTCGCTGTCCCACGGAGCCCAGGGCTCCGCCAGCAGGCCCCGTCATGGCGGCATGGAGGGGGCTGGGAGGGGTGGTGCTGGTTTCAAGGAGATCTATGAACTACACCAGAGGGAAGAGGCCAGGGAGAAGGGAGGGACGTGGGAGGGCTGGGGAGTGCCCTCCGCCCCACCCCAGCTGATGCCCGGCGACTCCACAGGATGCAGGACAGGGTGGGAGGGGATGCAGGCTCTGRGGGTGTGGGGAGCTGACTGCACAGGCCCCGGGTGAACCCCACCACGGAGGAGGCAGGAGGGAGGAAGAAGAGGAGGGAAACTTGGCGCCCAGGCCCAGGGTCTCCACCAACTGCCCCGTCTCTGGAAACTCACGGGCGCTGGAGTAAGAGGGCCAAGGTCCTGCTCGGGCCTGGCTCGGGGCGGCCCAGGCCCTTGAAGGCTTATCTTTTGGGAGGTGCCTGTGCTGAGCGCCCACCCACCCATGGCTCCAGGGTAGGACCTGGGGAGGGGGAGGCTCCCAGAGGGAAGGGGCTCTTGGGTCCTGCTGTCCTCCTGGCAGGACAGCTGTGCTTGGATGGCAGTGGCGTGGGTGTGGGGCAGCCCTGGCGGCCACTGGGCACCGTCTCCTCCAGGGATAGAGAGGGCTAGAGAGGGGGCAAAAGGCCTGGTTGGAGCTTGGAGGGGCACGTGCTCCCACTCAGGAGCAGTGAGCTCTGGCTGGCTGGACCCATGGGGCACCAGCAGGGACTGGGCTTGGGGGGAAGAAGGTGGAAGGGGGGGGGATCTCCCTGGACATGGTGGCTCCTGCTCCTCTGAGGCCAGCCTTCCTCAGGCAGAGGGGGAGACTGAGGCCCATGGGTGGGAAGGCCACCCAGGACTCCTGGTGAGTCGGGGGACCTTTGAACCCTGGGCCACGGCTCTGCCCACCTCCCTACCCCCCAGGTGTCTGCTTGCTGGCCTGGCCTAGGCTGGGGACCAGCTGTGCAGTGTCCCCTCTCCCTCTGCCTCCCTCTTCACCAGAAGCAGACCAGGGGCCAAGTACGCCAAGAACCTTGCTGCCCTGAACTCTCCCTTCTGTCCGTCTGCCAGGCAGGTGCCTGTAGGGGGTGGGGGCAGAAGGAGAGGGAGAGGGGGGGAAGAAGGGGACCCGAGTTCAGGGGGCGTGGAGTCCCTGTTGTYCCCGGGAGGCCTGTGCTGCGGGGCCCCTGGCATCACAGAGGCCACCCCTTCCTGGCACAGGCAGGAAGACCAGGGCCCCCGGAGGGCATGGCATGGCCAGGCCACACAGCCAGGGAGCTGAGTTGGGGTTGGAACCATGGCCACCGTCCCGCACCTCCTGGAGGTAGGAGCCTGGCCCTGTGCCCAAAAGCCAGGCCCTGCCTTGCTCTGCCATCCCCACCTGCCCTGGCATCGGGCCTCTACCTGAAGCGGCCACACTGGGGGTCACTGAGCCTCATCCCGGCAGAGGGCTTGGGGCTCCTCATGCCTGGGGACCCCTGAGGACAGGGATGTGAGGAAGGCTGGGCTGAGCCCRGGCTTGGGCCTGGGGCCCTGGGGACATGCCATGGGTATTCTGTAGTGGCCTGGAGACCTTGTGTGGCAGAGCTGGGCACGTGACAGCCGTCACACGTCCGTGCTGACACTGCGGCTCCGGGAGAAGGCCTCGCGCATGGCCGACAGGCGGTTGGGGTTGAGCGCCTGCAGGCCCCCGAAGCCCCCGGCAGGCAGCTCCAGGTCCTCCTGGCTGATGCTCTTATAGGCCACGCGCCCCCCGCCGTTGCGCACAGCCTCGTCCTCGTCCTCAGGCTCCTGCAGGAAGAAGGTTGGTGGCTCGTACTGGGAGCAGCTGCGGCAGAGTGTGCGGGCCTGTGGGGACTTCTGGCGGAAGGAGGTGGAGGCGGCCGGGTACAGCGCGGGCCCGTTGGTCAGCACGAGGTTGCGGTTGGAGTGCAGGGGGGGCAGGTGCGAGTGCACGGCGAAGTCCGGCTCCTCCTCGTCCTCCTCTGACTCGTCCTTCTTACAGCAGTAGTACTGTGGGAGAGGGTGACCGTGCTGCACACCACCGCACATGTGCCTACAGGTTGGCCCACGCCAGAGGGTCCCCAGGGTCCAGGGCAGCCCTGCCGGGAGCCCGCCCGCTCACGACCACCTGCCAGTCTTGCTGGGGCCAGTGCTGCGCTCAGCACCATGCAGTGGCTCACTCCCCTTGTCCAGAAATCCCCCATCTTCRCTTTGCCAATGGAGACGGAGGATGGGGGCTGCAGAGCTGGGGTCCAAGCCCCATCCAGCCCCAGTGTCCAGCTGTGGACACCGCCCTGGGCCACCCCACCCTGCCCAGAAGGCTCCCCACCTCAGGAGGACACAGGGCCTCCGGAGGCACCAAAGCACAGGAGGGCCAGGGAGCATGCAGGCGGCCCCTCTTGCCTCTGCCCTCCCCCTGGGCAGCTGTGTGCCCCCCGCTCAGTGCCTTGTCCTCTCTGAGCCTTGGCGAGAGCCCTGGGTGAGTGAGCAGGTGGCCAAAGACCCTGAGCCTGGCAGGTGGAGTCCTCGCCAGTGCTGTCTGCTGGGCGCCTCCTCTGAGATYTGGCTGTCCCTTCTTGGAGCCTCTTGGGCCTCCCCTGCCCTGGCCCTCCCCTGCCCTGGGGGGTACCTGGAGGCGGCAGTAGCACAGAACTGCGATGATGCAGAGCAGAATCACAGTCGCCAAGATGCCCCCGGTGATGACCACAGTCCCGGCTGTCATCCGCCCTCTTCTCCATCAACAGCCTGTGAAAACACCAGCAGCCCCGCGGGGTCACCCAGACCTCTGTGCGGAAGACACCCTTCTATTTCAGAAAGGAAAGAAACCAGCCAAATGGGAGCAGGTACCCCCGGACACGCATGTGCAGGTGAGGGCTCAGGTTGGAACAGGGCAGGTGGGAGGAGACGAGCCCCCTGAGGCCTCTCCCTTCCCACCCCAGCCTGTTTCTCGTCTGCAAGAGGTGGGAGCTGCTAGCACAGTTCTGTCAAGATCTTGCACTCAGCAGTGAGCTGGGCTCCGGGTCCTGTGACCTGTTTCTTGCCTTCTCACCTAACTCGACCATTCTTCTTTTTCTGAATCATTAAATTTCGGGTGCAACATAATTTCTGATCATAATTCATTGTTTAACATGACTGAGGCTTTTTCATTTAAATAACAATAGTAACAGAATGCTTGGACATCGGACATAAAATCTACTATCTTCAATTTTTTTKGGGGGGTGCTGGGTATTGAATCCAGGGGTGCTCTACCACTGAGCTACACCCCAGCCCATTTATTTATTTATTTAACTCTTGAGACAGGGTCTTGCTAAGTTGCCCAGGCTGACTTCCAACTTATGATCCTCCTGCCTCAGCCTCCCCAGTCACTGGGATTACAGGTGTGTTCCACTGAGCCTGGCCACTGTTTTTAATTGTACAATCTAGCACTGTCAAGAAGATTCACTCTTAAKATTTTTTTTTTTTTTATCTTACAAAACTGAAAGCCAATTCCTTTTTGATATCTAGGCTGTTTACACTGAGAAAAAATATTTTTAATGATGTTTAGGGTAGGGCGGCTCCTGGATCACAGAACCTACCTCAATGCCCTCTTCGGGACATTGTCAGAGGTGGGAATTTGGGCTCAGGGACTTCCTGCCTGGAGCCCTGCCGTGGACATGGCCCAGCACATGAACGCGGGGGACAGACTGACCCTGGAGCCCATGCCCCCTCCCATGAGCATCTGCTCACTTTTCAAGTTGTGGGCACGAACGTTCAGCAACCCCCTCACGAGTTCTGGCTGTCTCCACGGCCTCTCGCGAGCCAGTGTAGTGGCCGGAGTGGCCAACAGACCCCTTCCCCTATTCCCAAGTCTTTTTTCTTTTTTTGGCAGGGGCCGGGTGGCGGGAGTGACTGGAGTGACTGGAGTTTTGCAAGATCCCAGAGCRAGCCAGTTTACCCACCAACACTGGCGCCAAACTGACAGACTTAGCAAAGGACTTAGCAAAGCACCCAGCCTGCTCCAGGGGCTCCGAGATGCCTGCTCCCGGCCGGCTTGTGCCTCAGCACGTGCTGGCCTCCAGGCCAGGCCAGTTCTCACAAGCCCTCCTCCTGCCTCCCTGCGCCACCAGGGAGGAAACCACCACCGGCCTGTGTTCTGGGTGCGCGGGGCCTCACCGCCCAGGCGCTCCCTCCTCTGTGGCGCTTGGCTTCCGCCTCGTGGTCAGGCGGCCTCTGCTCCTCTCTGGTCCTGCTGTTGCCTTACCCGGGGGTTCAGAGGCTTGGCCCAGCTTTCCCACCAGATTGCTTGGGCAGCCTGAGCAGTCCAGACAGGCTAGTCCATGGGGACACGCGGAACGGCCACTTCAGATGCGGTCCATTTCCCGGCCGTTCACCCTGGTGCTTCTGAGGGAAGTGCAGAAGAGCCGCCCGCGCGTCCTAGACTGCTGGCCCAGAGCGGCCATAAGGAAGGGCACAGGGGCCAGTCTCACCTCTAGCCACTTGCAGAGCAAGCGGTGACCCTTAGTTCCTGTTTTCAGCGTCACCGTGACGCCACAGACTCGCTGATGAATCTGGATCCTGCAGTCACTCCTTCTGGTGTTCAGTGGCCCCCTGGGACTGTGGGTCTGGAGGCCCCTCTGGCGGCTCCTGGGTTGCTCTGGTGGGACCCCAGGGATGGCCCCACAGGGTGGTTCTCAGACAAGGCTGGGGGGTGCCCGCAGCTCCTGGTATTTCCTGCTGGTGCGACTGTGCGGTCGGGTCTGTGCTGGAGGCGCTGAGCCTGGTGGTGTCCTGGTGGGCAGCTTTTTCCACTTAGGTCAGCGTACCTGTCCTCTCCTCTGTGTGATCGTCTTCAAAATAACGTGACCAGTAGGTTCACTGACAACGCTTCTGAACCGAGTTTGGGTTTCTATCCTTTTTGGGCCGGCCCCTTTAGGTCCGCACAGTCAGGAGACGGTTTCAAACTCACTGGAAAGACCTCAGAGCAGTTCCCCCACCAACTCCACACCTGTGTGCCTTTATTTTTCTCTCTTTTTAAAAATTTTAAATGAATTTGATTTTGCTCATTAATCATAGAAAACATTTGGTCCCAAAGTCCACAGTGTGACACCGTGGGCATTCAGTCTTGCTTCTGCCCCCGCCTGCGCGCCCCCAGAGGTGACAGTCCCACTCAACTCCGGGCTCACCCTCCCATGGCTTCTCCCCACCAGACCAGGCGCACTCCTTGCCTTTCACACGCAGGGGCTTTTCCTACAGAGTCTGACCTTCCTCTGCGTCTCCTGCTGTCTTTCCCTGGATGGACGGGGCTGGCCTGGCCTCCTGGCAGCCACCTCGTGCCTGGCACATGGAGGAGCCTGCTCCCGGCTGCCCCATGGGGGCACGAGCACAGGTGCCCACCRCCCCTTTCCCAGGCCCTTGCAGACGCTGGCAGGACAAGCTCCGTGTGCATGTCCCTGGAGGGCTTGGGGGTCTGCCAGAGCCGCTGGGATTCGGGTTGATCAACCCTCCTCCAAGAGTGCACGAGAATAACCGGCAGGCGAGGTCTGGCTGGGGTGGGGGAGGCCTCGGGGTGCCCCCGCTGACTCTAGCCAGGTTTGCGAGGGTCAACACCAGGCAGGGAGGTGCCCGTGTAGGGGGGGCACGGACACATACCGACAGAGGGGCTGGCTGGGACACAGGGACCTGGAACCCGGCCCCTTGACAGGAAGACAGCAAGAGAGGATCCAGCCAGACACACAGGCAACTCCAGATACAGGCAGACAGAGCAAGGTGCAGACAGCCTGCAGCAGACAGACTCAAAGCAGCACAGCCAGGCCGAGACGGACAAACCGCCAGACACACAGGACAGAGAYGGAGCCAGGGACCTCACACGCTCCTGGGAGCTCTGCCTGGCAGCTCCAGTCCCACACAATTCCCCAGGTGGCTCAGGCCAGCTGGCCAGCTGGCCCTGCTGGGGACACAGGCTGACAGGCAGGATCCAGGGCGGCAGTGGCAGGGCGGGGCCGTCCAGGTGACTGGCACCATCTCTGCAGAGGTGAGCTGAGGCCAAGCAGCAGGTGCCCTGGCATGGGGCTCAACTGCCCTGCCCTCGTCGCCACTTTGGGTCTCACAGGGACACTGATATGTCCTTGACCTTCCCCTGAGGTTGCAGAAGGACTCTGGGGAGTCCTCCTCTGTGGTCAGGAGGACAGCCTGAGGAAGAGAGGTCAGCTGCTGGGATGCCGAGGTTACTGGGGAGGAGACTGAGGCCCAGGATAGGCAGGGGCCTCCCAGGAGTCCAGCCCAGCCCCAGTGTCCCCTTAGGCCAAGCTGGTCTGCATGCATCGTCCTGGAGAACAGGCCTCTCCTGCAGCTGAGAGCCTCAGCAGTCCTCACYACCTGTGGGGACCACAGGGTCTCGACACAGAGGCCATTCCTGCCCATTGTCCCGTGTGACACTTTCCAGGCTGGCCCTCCTCTCTGTGGGATGCAAACTGCGCACTGGAGGGATGACGTGACCTGTCAGGCCCCAGCAGCAGGATGAGGAGGCAGAGTGGGTCAGGGCCAGTGGTCATGACCATCCACCTTAGGGCAGGGCAGTGCCCTCTGCGGCTCCCTCTCCCTCCTGTCAAGGCCCACGTCTGCACAAATGCCCTGGACCCCATGGCACGCTCATGTGTGGGACACTGAGCCCTGCCTCTGTGACCCTCCTCTCTGCACCCTACCYCTGGTGCCCAGTTGTACCCCGACTGCTGCCTGCTGCCCATAGCTCACTGAGGCTGGAGTGGACGTGTGCCCCAGGCTGGCTTCTCTCCTGAGAGATGGAACAGGTCCCTGCTGGTCCCAGGACCTGGGCAGACATAAGCAGTCTAGCTGCTGCCAGGGCTGGCATTTTGTGCCATGTGTGTGGACAGCCAGMAGGAACTGGCCCCAGGGGAACAGGACAGATACAGATGTGGAGAAACCTGTCCTCTGCTGGGGTCCTGACCCAGGTGCGAGACCCTCCCCTGGGAAGAYACAGCTCAGTGGGCTTCTGATATTTGGCCCAGAGCAGACAGTCATGGMCCTGCTGCCTCCAAGGGACTCACCAAACCTGGGGAGGCGAGAGAGAGGGCCTGGGTATGGTTAGCTGTCGTGACGGGCTGAATGCAATCACTGACCACAGCTGGGGCTCTAGGCCGGGGCCAGGTTCCCCAGGGAGCATGTGCCTGGTGGGCCCCAGGAGCTGGGACGGGGAGTAAGACACAAAGATCAGGACTCTGGTGCTGAGGCCCTTGGGACAGGCAGGCAGGGGCTCCAGACAGTGCACTCGAGGGACCCCTACCTGCTGGCCCCGCTCGGCCTCCAGTGGGCTACAAGAACTGGGCACTGGGGACTCTGCACCAGGGCAGGTGCACTGTCAGACAGTGTCTCTCCCTGGGCCTATGTCCTTCCTTGGGTCACTGTGAGAGCTGGCCATGCTCCCAGGCCCGAGATGGTCCCTTGCTCTGCCTGGCCCCTGGGGCCTGAGCTGCGTCTCCTCTGGGCCTGGGTTCCTTCCAGCAGCAGGCAGCCGGGAAGGGTGCCGGCTCAGGCCAGGTGCCCAGGGCTGTCAGCAGCAGCCGCTCCAACACCCAGCCTGTCCAGCTGGAGCGTCTCCGCCTCGCTCCGCAGATACATGCTCAGGGAACAGCAACGCCCGTGGTGGGTGCCAGGTTCCAGGGCCAGGCCCGACACAGACGCACACGCTCCTGGCAGCTCCATTCGTGCCTGGGCCTGACATCATTGCAGTTAACTCCAAACAGTCCCAA